TAATAATTTCTACATATAAAAGCAACATCCAGTTCACAAACATGCTTTTACCTCTATCATGATAATGTTTAGCGAAGTACAGCTGATTTTTCAAAGTTACAAGACTGGGTCGGCTTTGGTCACATAGCCTCTCCGTTATAGCTTGAATCACTTTCGCATTTTCCTCGTCATTTTCTTTTATTCGGTACGCTGGATTTAATTGATATAGAGAGAGCTGAAAGTTTTTGAGAACACTCCGCTTGTAATTAATCACTGCTTGGAATCTTGCTTGCGCTTCAATAATATCTCATTATTGGGTGCGTTCAGCCGATACTCCGCTAGCCTAGCGCACGTAAGCAGCGAGCGCTTTGCTACCATTTGCTACGGAAAAATTTGGCGAAGCGCTTCCAAGCGCTTCTGTCCAGCCAAATTTTTCCGTAGCAAATGGTAGCAAAGCGCTCGCTGCTTACGTGCGCTAGGCTAGCGGAGTATCGGCTGAACGCACCCATTTGACTCATTCATTCATGGGGGAGAATAGAGTCATGCGCTTCTCTTATTATTCAGGACTCTAGAGGAGAGCATGCCAGATAAAATCAGAAAAATAAAATAAAACAGAATAGAAATTTATAGTAGACGATTTCATCTTTTGGAGGAAGAACTATTGAAAGAAGATATTGATACAATATTGAAATAATGGAATAATTTATATATTTTGTATGTTACTCAAGTATATACATTGTAACATTATATGTATTATAACGTATAACATGCAATTTATGTACAATCGTATTTAACGTATTTATCTAATTTACATTTTATATATAATATATAATGTAACATAACACACATATATATGTATGTATTTCTATGTACAAATTGATACAAACTGTAAATTATCATAAATTTTGTTTAGTTATTTAAGAAAAAGAATCACTACATCTTTATATACATAGCAAATATTTTTGGCATTCATATTATGTTCTTTGTACATTTATCATATGTTCATTACGTACATAGCGAAAGTATTAAACAGCCTATCGTAATAATTTATGTCACGAGTTGTAAACATTTGCCTGGTTTCCATTTGATGAGGGAAACCACTTATGGACCACGAAGTTGAGCCAATAAAGCTTCATTTTTGCGGCATTCAATAGTGAGCTGTCTAACTGCAGCCACATATTTGCGTTGCTGTTCTACGAGAGTGACGAGTTGTCGACTAAGCGTATCTCGCCTACCTTTTTCGTCGGTACACCGTTTTTCGACCTAAATATAAAATCATTTTTTAAATTATTTGTTTGATTTTGCAATATTAACTCATCATTAAATATACAGAATTAAAAAGAAAAGTTATACAGAATCGGAAAATTTAAAGTCGCATAGTATACATAGGAAGACAAAAATATCCAGTCAGTAATTTCGTAAATCAATTCTTATAGAAATAGAATAAAAATCAAGATAAAAATTGTTATTTCAAGTTAGATATGTTTGCCTCATTTCGATGAATACTACATGCTCCTAAATTGATTCATTTTTATATCATTATTTTCCATCTTACCATCGCTTTGTTGCGCTTCACTCCTGCAACAATTGTCTCAAATTGTTTCAGGAACTGTTCCTTGCCACTTGTTGATGCCATAGCTCTGTCGTAAAACAGGTGAAATTATAACATATATTGTTAACATTACGGATATATTAAAACTATTAATATTTACAGTACGTACTCATTATAGTTATCCTGAATGGAATTTAGTAACGACAATTCCTTACTTATGTACAGTTTTGTATCATCGAGAGTATTGTACAACGTATAATATTGTTTAGTTTCTTTGTGCTTGGCTGAAACTGTAAACAATACGCTTTAATCGGAATTTCTTAAAATAGATACTTCTGAATTGCAGGATTGTTTTTAAGTAATGATAAATTCAATTAACCTTGGTTATAGAGTTCCATAAAACGACGTTGATATTGTGTCAGTTCAGAGCGCCCTGGAACATCGTCCAGTTGTCTCGTTATGGATGCAATAATTCTATTCTTTTTAGCCAATTGCAATCGCACTCGTGTTATAGCTTCCTTTTGCTCCTCATATTCTTTGACACGATCCTCTTCCTCCACCGGAGTACCATTTTCAATCTCTTGTAACATACCTCGAAGAAGATTTAAGTCCGACTTACATTGCTCTCGGAAATTGTGTTCTTGTTCCTTTAATCCCTCATGCACAGATAGAAGCTCCTCTAATCGTTTAAAAATACTAAAAGTTGAATAAAAATTCTTATTGTTTATTTCATATTTGTAAAAAAAGTACCAGAAGAAAAAGATTAATATTAAAAAAATTAATATATCTTCATTTATAATCAATCATAACTTTATTACTTCTAAATACCTGTCATTATCATTAATTCCAATTTCCCGAATCTTTTTAAACGAGCGCTCAATGGTTTCTCTTCTCGTACGATATTCTTTCACTTTTTCTATTATTTCAACAAGTTTGTCAGATAAAGTATCTCTCTCCTTCGTTAACTTGCGTACTCTAGATTGTAATGTTGTCTTTTGTTTTTGCAATGCAATTAGAGCGCGCGATGAATCTGTTGCGTCACCATCCTGCATTAATACAAATATCATGTTGTATGCTTCAATTATATTGCGCAAAGATACATTCTATATTTAAATTTACCTTTATTTCGGAAGTAGCCATGGCTGCATATTTTTCTGCCACTTTAGCAATTTCTTGCGCTTGTATACCAACGATGTTTCCAACTATACTTACACTTAAGCGCATCTGTATTAAAGACGAAAGATTAATAATTATAATATTACAAAAATATAAATAAGAAATTACTTATGCTTATTTATATATTTCTAGCTTTATAATGTGAATCGTCGTTTACTTTATTTCTGTCGTTCTGAAGAAGATCAAGTATGGTTTGAAACGTAAACTTGTAACTAATTTATATTAATTTAATAAACATTAATTTTAAATTTATTTTCTAACATATTTTTATTGCTCGAAAATTGGCCGTCCTTTCTATAAAAATACAAGTCACTTTAATTAACTTTTTAAGAGAAAAGAATCTTTTGAATATGACCACACTTCAAACAAATAATACTTTCACGTAAATTTGGATAAAAAATTGTTTTTTTTTTAAATGATAATATGAGTGAACAATATGTATATAAATTGTATATAATAAAAAAAGTATTATTTAAAACAGCCTTGAATCCATTCTTAGTAACATTTTTAAAAATCTACATACCGAATGTTCTTCTATAATGGATAGAGCAGCGGTAATCTGTTCAGTTGTGTTCTAAAGGGTATAAATTACATAAACTTTTCTACTAGTTTAAGAAGTATTGAATAGATAAATAAAAAATGATGTATTTTATGTAAACAATACCTTTTCATTTTTTTTATTATTTCTTGAATCATTGCTTTTACATTCTGTCGATGTTGTTGTTGCTGATGAATTTTTAACAGCCTCAAATGGTGCTTCATATTCTAATATTGTACCGATAAATCTATTTGATTCATCTTTCACAAAGTCCTCTTTTTGTTTGAACAACCGTCGTGGCTCGTAGGCTTTCTGTTATACATTGAAGAAAAATAGCGCATATCAACTACACATCCATATGGTTTTTATAATTAAATATTTTTCTTAAAATAGTTTGCACCTTAACTGAACGTAAATTTCTGATAACATTTTCATTAGCCGTTGCTCCAACTTCACAATCTTCACTAAAAGAATGCTTTTTGTGAAATTGATTTAACGCAAAGGCTCTCACAAAGTCTGCCATTTCTTGTCGCATTTCCATAGAACGCTTTACCAGCCATTGAACAACTGGAAATATATGGATACAGTCTAGCCCTTGTATTTGATGTGGTTCTATTCGATATGGACAATTCATTTTGGGAAGCATAACCACAATTTTCTCTGTCAAGGAACTGTAATACATATATTTTACACAATGTGAAATATTAGTTATAGTTAAAAAGATTTTCTATGTAAGAGGATATTAATAATAAAAACAATAAAATATAAGGAATAAAAAGAAATTAATAAATAAAATCATTTTCAAATAAATACAACGTATACAATACATACATTTTTTGACCAATTGTGAAATTTTCTTGAAAAAGTAAATCCACGTCTACATCAAAATTGCATGATTCAATGCACCAGGTCATGCCGCCAACAACCTAACAAATATTAATTTTTGAAATTACATATAAGCTTAATAAAAATAAAATAAAAACTGGAAATAATTTGCGAACCTTATCAAAATTCGATAAACCTTTAATTCGTGCCCTAAAATAACCTGCAGCAACAAGTAAGTCAATAATCTCTTGAAATTTAGTGGTTTGTTCCTCATCCTCGCGTACATCAACCTAAGAATATAACATTTGAATGATTAGTTCAATATATTTAAACTAAATAACAAGTTTGAATTATATTTATGCAGTACGTATTCCATTTGAGAGTAACTCATATCAATCTAAAGAATTTCTTACACCATAACTGGATACAAAGGAAAGTACATATTCTTTGCAATGATTTGCAAATGTATTATTTCAATTTGTAATAAATAATTTTATTCATATGATGCTATCTGTTGTTTATCTCGCATAAATATATATACTCTGATTCCCTGTCTCAAATTTGATATATATTGTAAATTCATCAAGTTAGTAAGATAAAAGATTTTTATTATTTCAAGTTCTATAATATTGCGAGAAAAGTCTTTAAATAAATAATAAATAACTTAAAAAAAGACCATTTTACCAAATAGATGTTGATTACTATGGAACATCTTACCTCCGTGCTTTCAGAACTTCTTAATAATCTTTTCGGCACGTCGTTCAGCATGTTGTTGATTTTTCAGAGGCAGCACGCTGTTATTTTTTAATATATTTACAATTAAAAGAGATAATTTATTATAATGTGTGCAATCGAGAGCTCCAACTCCCTGAGTCATGGGTCATGTTCCAAAACTTCTTCTTCTTCTTCTTCTTATATTTATATTAGCTCCTGCCTCTTATACGAGGTCAATATGGCCAGCATTTGCCTCTGATTGTTTAGGCAACTGAGAGGTGCGCTACGGTATTTGAGTGTCGACTCTGCCACTTGAGTTGGACGTCATGGGTGGGGGGCTGAGAGACTGTGAGAAATCCAAGCAGGGATATAGGGGATTATGGAAGTCGCAGATGCGCGCGCAGGCGCGCGTATTTACAAATTTATATCCGTTGACTTGCAGAATGCCATAATGAGCCTACAAATTTTTGCTGTAGGTTTTTTAAGTACCATGAGAAAATCATCGCAGTGCGGGCCCGCGAGGGATTCCACCACTCGTCGGAGATCCGCGGCCCGGTCAGACGTCAGAGGACAATGAAAAATGATGTGATTTATGTCTTGCAAGGGATCCCCGCAAGCGCACGAAACGTCGTCGACGATATTTTTTCTGAAAAGGCTATAATTTAGGTTGTAATGATTCGCTCTCAGTCGAGAGACCGTGACTATCGCGTCCTGCTTCACACACACACACAAACCTAGTTTGTAATACCACGGTTTAGGAGTGTTAACATAAATCGTACGAAAGAAATGATTACCCTTGTGCCGAGCCCTTTTAAAAAGATAATTATGAAATTCTATAGATAGTTTCTCTTTTTGTTCGATAAACAGATCCGAATGAGAAAGTTTAAACGCGGGGGGTTCTTGACCGAAGCGAATGGCCTTTCTAGCAAGTTCGTCTGCCTTTTCATTGCCAATGATGCCCTTGTGGGATCCAAATAAATTGAATAGTGTTTGCCACGTTCCTGAGACGCGATTATTTTAGTTTTGATTAGCGGAATCAAATAATTAAAGCGGCATGTGACTGGGTTTGACAGGGCTTCCAGTACACTTTTCGAGTCAGAGACTATAGTATATTTGGTTCGATTTAAGTCTAGGGAAAGAAGTATTGCATTATAAATAGTCCATTGGCCTCGTCGTTAATTCGTTGTATGTACTTCGGAAGAATTCTGAGAGATCTTATCTAAGATGGTCATATTTGTTTGGTAACAAACTTCGTCGTTCGAACGCGACGGAGATGCGACAACCTTTTCCGGATTTCCGGAATTGTGTTTTCTATTTTTACGCTTTCCCCCCATTTCTTAATCTGAATAAGAATCTATATTATGGTCCGAATTAATTGAGTCGGTATCACAATC